CTTTACCATACGAAAATGTATTACTGAACGAATCACGAGCTGATAATTCATGAGGAATTCACGGAGTTACTAAAGAACAGTTTGAGGGATACTATACTAATGAATCAACAGGTAACGATTAGTTGATAAGTGGGCCTGTTTGTAAAACGATCACTTGCCAGTCTAGATTATTGAACAGCCGATGATGTATTTGTTTCGTATTAGACTGATTTAAGGTTAAATGTAATATAGTTATAGGCATTTTTTAAATTTTTGAGTTCAATTTTTTAGACCATTTATTATTTCGCTGTAGTTTGGGAGTATCTGTAAACCTCTAAATATACTTTATAATTGCAGCTTGTGTTTATATTATTGCCTTTCAACATAGATCCATCAAATCTTTAAACATCACTCATCACTTTTTATTTTTATAGCTCATGAATATATGTCCTCCACTGCACTGACCGGCACCTGTACAGGCATCATTAACAGGTGTTTTCACGTTCCTCTGCTGAAGGGGATGTGTCTATGCTCCCCTGAAATCTGAGGTTTCAACATGTACATGCATACAAAATTAATGACATCACAAGCCTGAAAACCAGTCATGGTTCACCATGCAAATATCTGCAGATTTCAGAGCAGCCAGAACCAACTTTTCTGGAGTGGGAGCCAAACCTTTATCTGCTGACAGCAAATATTCCAAAGTGTGCAGTTTTTGGATATAAATCACACCCTGGAGCTTATCCCCACCACTTATTTACTCATTTATTTTGTTATTTAATGTTCATATGAGACATATTGTTGTCAGCGTATTAGGTTTGACTCTAGCCTAAATGAGTGGTAATGGTTAGTGTAGTGCTAATCACTCGGTCTCCTTAGGTCTGGCATGCTATTAAACTAAGCCAGACTGTAAATACATCTGTACATTTTGCTCAGAACTCTTCTAACGGCGTGCACTACTTACCAGACATCTGCCAGCTGAAAGCATGAGCACCTCATTTTAATCAAATGAGGTGAAAATTTATTTGTGGCTCAAAGTCAATTTCATTTTGAGTCTGACAATGAGAAACAACTACAGCAATGCAGCAACAGGTTGTCGTGCACCCGCAGCTGAATCCTGCAGGGCTGAAAAAGGTTAAGGACTCATGGCTTTAAACCTGTGAAAGCAGGAAAATGTGGCTAAGTCTGTTGGTGATTGTGCTCCTGGAAATTGCCAACAGTTAGGTAGGACTTGTTGCTAGGAAACATTTGAATAACCATCTGCACATGCATTTCATTGAGAGAAAAATAAAATGCACATGCAATGGTCTCAAGTCACATGGTTATAGCAATTAAAGCATTGATCTTTGTTAAAGTAAAATATAAGGGAAGGGACAGGGAGTTTTTACAGTAGGAGAAGGTATCAAGGCAGCAAGTGGATGCACAGTTAATTATATGAGAGGTCAAAAACAGTCACCATCATTAGTGAGAAAATATTAATCTTCACTGACACCTGCCTACTTACAGTATATAAGAGAAGTATATCTCTGTGTCACCACAATGCAGTCCACATGTATGCAAATGAAGCAAAGGCTCTCAGAAAAACCAGAAGATTTTAGTGTTAATCAAGTCATATATATATAGCAGGAAGAGTGTTTTGTTTAAATAATAATGGTGATATAGGTGGACAAAGTGCTCTTTTTGAGGGCAAGATTACATGTGGTTCCAACTGCTAATGCTGGCACTGATGTAGGCACAAAATGTGTCTCTCCTGATGTTACAGAGCTTGGCAATTATGACCTTATTTTATCCTCTTTTTACACACACACAAACACACACACGCACACACACACACACACACACACACACACTGACTGTCTCTCGATCCCCATCTGTCTCACTCTCACACTACAGCTGTGATGTTTAATTAGTGTTATTTTCAATCTGCCCTCATCCGAATCCTTGTGTGCTGCCATGTAACTGTTTAACTGCACAGACAATCACGGAGAAGGAATAAACCAAATCATGGTTACAGTTTGTTTGGTTTACGAGGTTGTGTATGTGCTTGTGTGTTTTAGATGATTAAGCCTCAGTCGTGGAGAGTTCAGGTTGATCCATGATGTTATTCACTGGTAGGACAAAGTGAGAGAAGGCTTTCTATATTTCCATCCATCGCTCATGCTCTTCACAGTTTCTCTATGCAGTAGAGTGAGTCTGCCAGCAGCCTGCAGTATCACACCCCCACAGTGAGCCACAATGCAACCACACAAATAATACACAGCTACTTTCTCTCTCTGTTGTACTCTCAGATAGACACTAACCCTTCAAATAATTTGGAGAGCTTTCACACCGGTCTGAATAGTTTCTACAGCGACTGAGGATGCACATTGCTGATGTGAATGTGTTTGTGTGTAAAAGGCCAGTAAATGTAACTGTGTATTGTCAAAATATCCCCCTCCCACTGTCAAGCGCTGGGTTGGTTACTGATCCCAGAGAGAACCATAGTTCACCAGCAGCCATGAACCACAAGAGATGACCACTACATAGGTTGTACTCTGACTCCTTCAAATTGCCTGTGTTGGCAAAACGTTTTGCTCTTTAGGCACACACATTAATGAGCACAGATCTAGTATCAGACGTGCTGATTAAGAAGTCCAGTGGCAACACATGTCATTAATGCAGGACACAACATTAGTTCCATAAGATAGACAGGTACTGAAACAGTTGCCATTATAAGCGGTGGCGGTCGAGATAAGAGAACTTTGAATTTATACACTAAACACACTGTCTCCACATAGACTTTGATATTAGACCTTTCTGTAGGTTTGGTTTATTATGAATTGGATCTTTGTATAGGATATGATCTTTCTTATGCACTAGTGGATACTTATAATTGTTGACATAATAAGGAGTTACTTGGCCAATTATTGGATGTGTTTATAACAGGATTTGATAGTTTTTTAAAATGTGTATAGATGTGTGTTTGTATTTTGTATTTTATTGTGGTGGGTGGGTGAAACTATTGTGTGAGAAAACTGGGCTTATATTGTCATTGTGCTGTTGTTTCTGTGCTGACTGGTCTGGGTGTAGTGTCACACCTGGCATCAGTTTGAAGGAGTTCATATGTATGTCAGATCAGAGTACGAGCTGTGAATACCTGATGAAGACTTAATGTTGAAACGTTGTCGGTGTGGCCGCTTGGCCTGAATTAATATAATTTTTGGGGCATCAAAACAGTGTGTGGGCTGTAATCTTTTTATTTTACTAGTATTGTATCTTGGCCTATGCACCTGATACAAAGAAGTCTTTGTGGAGGTGCATGTACTTTTCTCAGTGTATTTATATTAGATGACCACTACATATCAGTCTGTTTCCCATATGACAGATTTTGCTGAGCAGTTCACAGGCCTGCTGCTTATTTTTTCATTTAACTGTGATGTGTCAGAGCCAGGATCCAAAGAAATATAGACAGGGGTGAAATCAGAGCAACTAACACTGAAATCAGAAAGCTATGCATCAAGAGGTTCCTTAAAAAAGTGTTTTTTCTCACGCTTCCAGTATGTTCAGGAAAAATATCAGTTTTCAAATCAGAATTTATCATTTGGACTTTGATGTCATAGATTGACTATGAGATACAAAAACCTGAAAGGGTGTGGCTGACAGCAAGACCTGGAATGCACAGCAATAATTAAATAGTAAATATGTCCACTTCAACTACCATATGTAGTGTTAATGAAACAAAAGTTCAGTTTCAGTGCAGCAGCCCCGAGGTGCAAATTACAGTATTTCTAAAAATAAATGAAATAATATTGTGAGCTTAATTGTGAAAACAAAGACTAGAAAAGGAAGGTACCTGTTGATTGGCCAATTATTAATTCTCAGTGGTGTCCAGTGATGTCAGATGATTGTGATTACTTTTCTTTTGTATCCACCTTCACAGGCTGTCATTTTGTTAGGTGGGGGTGAGCGTGTAAGGTTGGACCCAAAAGTGCAGACTCAAGACTCAAAAAAGGAGTTTAACAAAACGTTGTTCTTAGGCTGGAACAGTACAGCTGGGGTGGTCAGCCAGATGCAGTGGATCACAGGTGAATCTGGCAGGAGCGGCGGGTACTAGGAGGGCCAGAGGACCAGGGCAGTAGTGGTGAGTACGGCAGGAGTGGTGGGCACCAGGAGGACCAGAGGACCGGGACATGCAGGTGAATCGACCGGTGGCCAGTGAAGATGTCAGATGTAGGCGGTGTGTAGCTTGATGTGCACCACCAACAAAACAGTCAGTCATGGGGCGGAGAGCAGTTTGTCTAGTAAGCTTAGCCAGAAAAGGGTTCGAGGGACAGGGGACGAACTTAAAATGGTGCCAAGCCGGGGGTTACTTCATTAACAGGCGTGACAGGAACAGAGGGTGGCAGCAACGTAGAGTAATGAACCAGCATCAGACTGAGGGAAGGGAGGAGTATATATACACGACTGTGAATGCGATAACGAGGGGCAGG